TTGATAAGAGACCAGCATCAGAAACTGTGATCCAGAGAGAGCCAAGGCTGCATCTCCAGCTGGCAACCGAACTTGATACTATGTAAGAAGCTCCCTGCATCACTGGTTGTGGTGGCATGAGAGCTTCAGGATTTGAAGGGATCCTGGAGAGCAGCCGAGGCCTGGCATGTGAGAAGCCATTGGTTAAGTGCAGCCTCAGCTGCAGTGGAAACTCTGGGATGGGAGGGCGGCTGAGGCTTGGCACCGTGTGGCAGGGGCCCTGAAGAGAGCTCCGGAGAGGCTATTGGTGTGGTGCCACCCAGTTGTAGTAGAGACACCAGCTTATTTGGAGGTGGCATGATCATGGGATGATTGCCAAGGACAGCAGCAGCTCTGGAATGGGGCTGGCCTGAGCCTTTGCAACAAGCTGTGTTCTGTGAAGGACAGGACTGGAGAGACAGCTGAGAATGGAAATGAGGACATGGCACTCCAGTGTAGGGCTGAGGAGAAGGATTGTAGTGTAGATAGAGAGAGAATACGCCAGGGGCATCCGGAAGGATCCAGACTGAACTGGGCCATGAGAGGAGATGGGTGTGGGGTGGGGGGAGAGGGCCAAGAGGATTAAGAGAGAACCAAAAGAGCACGTGACCAAAATGGGGTGGTTATATAGGTACAAGAAGCTAGGGAAGAGAAGAGAAGTCTCCTGGGCTAGAGAGGTTTAGGGAGGGCCAAAGTGAGAAGTGCTGAGAGAAGCCACAGGTGCTGAGTGAGCCTGGAGCCAGGCAGACACTTTGTGTGCTAATAGGCAACACAGTTAGCCATTTGTCCTGAGTTTCTTTGGGACCTAACCTTGCAGCCTTTTTGTTGATAATAAAAAGTGACATAATCTCCTGTGTACCTGATTCTTAGCTGAAATTGGGGTGTGGTAGTAGGGGCCCAGGGAGGTTGGAGTGCTGGTCAAGGCCCAGAAGGGAGAGAGAAGTGCATGCTGGGGTCACATCTGTTTCCATCACTGCCCAGGTCCTGAGGGACCACCTGGGGCTAGTGAAGTGCAGGCCCCTTTGGAGCAGCCTGGGATGCAGGTTCTGAATGAACGCTTGGACAGCTGGAGCATTGCAGGCAGTCTGGGAACAGTTTGCACTCTCCAGGTGATGGAAACTGTTGGGACAGATACAGAGTAGGGACAGAAGTTAAGTGTAGGGGAAAGTGTTTTATCTCAGGTGTACTTTTGAAACTTTCAGGCCCATAGTCCTGGTAGTTGGGGATGTGGAAGTAGTCCCAAGGCAGGCATTGTGTGTGTGTGTAGGGTGAGGGAAGAGATAGATATCCCACCCTTAGGAATAGGCAGTAGGCAGGGAGGCTTAGGCTGTTGGTTGACAGGAATACTTACCTGGAGTCAGTTTGACCTGTGACAGGTAGGTACAAGTCATAGCTCACTGAAGTTTACATGAGCTTTTTTTTTTTTTTAAATGTTTACAAAAAGGGGTACAAGATTTTGATGTATTAGCATTACCACTGTTAGTGATCTGTACTGAGATCCTCATTGTGTTTGTAAAGAGTTGAGTCATAGCAAAAGCTGTGGTTTGGGGTTTAAAGTGCGAACACTCTTTCCTCTCTCCAGAGGGCTGGATGTGTAGATTGGACAGAGATGTTTTCAGCATAGTGAGAAGCACTTTTAAATCTCTACTTAGAAGACAACCAAGGACATTTACAGTTTTGAGTTTGTGACTTGGTAACAGTCATTGCTTTACCAGGGCTGGATAAATAGCCTATCAGAACTCCACTGATTAATATTAAAACTCTGAACTTTAGAAATCTTAGTATAACAGTGGCAAAGAGGAGAAGAAATCTGACCTTTCTCATTTTCACATACCCTAAATCAGTTCCTCAGACCTTTATAGCTTGCATTTACATGCTTTACGTCACTTTCCTATACCCTCAGAACTTACTTAAACGTTCACATCCTTAGACCTCTACAACTCTCATTTACTTTCTTAGATTCTCACAACTTACATACATTTCAAACCTTTTTTTCTGTCTAATCAAACACCATGAAACACAGGTGGTGGATTATTGAGAGCATTGTAAATGAATCAAGTTCATTAAATAAAGGAATAATAAAAGTTTACACTGAAACCTGTTTTGTGAGTTTCTCTCTTTTAGTGTGAAGCAAGGTAAACTTTCTGCCTTTCTTAGCAGGAGACCTACAGCTCTAGAAAAGGGAGGCCTGATTTTTACATATGAACTGAACTGAACTGTCTTAGTTAGGGTTTCCATTGCTGTGAAGAGACACCATGACCATGGCAATGGCAACCCTTAGGAAAATGGCAACCCTTATAAATGAAAACATTTAATTGGGATGACAGCTTACAGTTTCAGAGGTTCAGTCCATCATCATCATGGTGGGGAGCACAGTGGCTGGGAGTGTGGTGGCATGTAGGCAGACATGGTGCTGGAGAATTCTGTATCTTGATCCAAAGGCAACAGGAAGTGAACTGTCTCATGGGCATGACTTGAGCATATGAGTGGAGTCCTCAAAGTCTGCCTCCACAGTGACACCCTTCCTCCAACAAAACCACACTTACTCCAACAAGGCCACACCTCCTAATAGTGCCACTCCCTTTGGGGGTCATTTTGTTTCAAACCACAACACGGACTGACCAAGAAACTGTAGCCTTGGGAGGAGGAACTGGTTTGCTTACATCTGTTAAACTGATAAAGCCACAGTTAGTCATCAGCATCATCACATCTGAGAAGGATAAGTTAGAGCAGGAAGTATAATCCAAATGGCCTCAATATCAATTTCCATTACGTTGTGTGTGTGTGGGAAATTATAAACGCCCTCTCCCTGGAATCACTCCCTTATCCAAAGACAACTGTTGCTTTGGTTTGTATATTGTTTGAAATTTATGCAGGAAATAATCCTGTTGGAGCTTAAAAAGTCTCCCCAAGAGACTGTCCTTTTTGGCATTCTCATTGAAATGCCAGAATGTCCATATTTGCTCAAATCTATGGCAACTCATTGTCTGTGGAAATATAAGGGTGCATATCAAAGGATCTGTTGACCAATAGTCTCCCAAGCTATATTTTCCTGTTTGGCCCATCAGAATAATTAAGTCAAGGAATTTCTTGATGTCCTTCTGTGTAACTGGAGACCTCTTCAGTGTTCTAGATGGTGTTTTGAGTTTCACTGCAGTTTGATCATGATGGTTGGACAGCTCTTTGTACAACATCTCAAACAACTCAACACCAAATGAGACATTAAATTGATCACCAAAAAAGAGATTGGTCACAGAGGGTACAGAGCCACACTGAGAAGGGAATGTAGTGACCCCGGCATGACCTTCAAATGTTTGTAAGTTGGTGGTGTGCCAATTAAGATCAAAAATTATCAGTAGCTTTGCCAGTGTAGGAATCTCTTGAAAGCACCACTGCCTTGGGTTTCCTTCCAGGTTAATAATTTTCCTGTCAGTAGAATCTGTAGGATTGTCTCCAGCATTGTCAAATAATGAGAAGCACTCTTAAATCTCTACTTAGAAGACAACCAACAAAATATAATATATAAAAGATGTATTATGTATACAGCATTATGTCTGCATGTTGGCCTACACACCAGAAGAGGGCTTCAGATCTCATTATAGATGCCTCTGAGCCACCATTAGGTTGCAGGGAATTGAACGCAGAACCTCTGGAAGAGCAGTCAATGCTCTAACCCTCTAAGCCATCTCTCCAGCCCCACAAGACATTTTTGTTTAATTTTTTAACCCTACATGCACGCACCCATGCACTCACTCACACGCACACCCCTTTTGCATAGTGTTTTCCTATAGAGCCCAGTCGGCAGTAATATACCTGTATTATTCTTTGAGCTCAACATCTTGTTTTTCAAGAGGCTGCTTGTCACCTCAGTGGGTTGTTCCCCAGCTCTCTCTGTTTCTTTGTTACACCCCCAATGCCTAGGAAGATGTTCTTCGGTGTGCATTTCGCTCACACTCAGAAGGGGGCTCCTCTGGTACCAGATCATTTCTCATGGTAAACCTTGTCTCTTGTCTTCATCCCACATGGTCTTCTACCCCTCTGAGCCCTTCTTAGAAAACGCTGAGCTTCTGCTTATATTCCTCTGGGTGAGGTTATACAAAGAGTGGGCATGAGGCCATGTGTCCCTTGCCTCCTTAGGATCCCCGTTGTGCACCCTCAGCATCCTGTCCCATGAAAGCCTTTTCCTCCCTTTTCTTCCCTGTCCCAGTGCTAGGATGGAACCTAGGCCTGTGCACACTAGGCAAACACTACCACTGAGCTACACACCCAGTATTTGTTTTCTTTCCTCTTTTGAAATAAGTTTTCGTGTAGCTTAGTCTGGCCTGGAATGTGGAATTTTCCCCTGTGCTTCCTGAGAAGGTGGAATTGCAGGTATCTACCACCATCGCTGGCACCAGATCAACCCTTCTAAGAGGCGGCTATTATACAAAATTCCAGCACCCCTCCAAAAAGAATGTTCCTCATCCCAAGTAAACCTTTATTTTAGATGTATCTGTCTTCAACTAGTCATCACTTTCTCTTTTTACCCTTTATTGTCATTTTTTCTAATTTTTGTTATGCAAAAACATTTTATTATAATGAATTTATCTTGAAAAAGGTTTTTTTTTGTTTTTTTTGTTTTTGTTTTTTTAGTGATTTCTCTTTCTTCTCTAGTGAGAAAATAATGTCTCTGACTTGGAAATCATCTTCAGGTAAAGTCTTATTTGAAGCAGAGTGGTAGTGCTTGGCTATCATTCTGGCCATTCTGCAGGCAAAGGCAAAGCTTTCAAGTGTAAGGCCATCTGTCGCTTACTTGCTGCATCCCTCCATCTCTGCCTCTCTGGTTATCTTTCCTTTGTGTACGTTTGTCTCTTCTTATAAGGACACAGTCACTCCAGGTGACCGTCTCGTCTTACTTTTGACTTACGTCTGCAAAGACCCTGTTTCCAATGACATCATCTACATGCACCAAGGATCAGGACTCTGTGAGTCAGAAATACAGTTCAACCCACAGCAGACAGTGACGGCTTTCCTGCCTTTCTTTCCTCTCACCAGATGCCCGTCACAGGCTCGTCCCATGGCCCTCGTTTCTGCTGATTCCCGAATTGCAGAGCTTCTCACAGAGCTCCATCAGCTGATCAAGCAAACCCAGGTAGGAGCGAAGTGAAGCATGGGCTGTGGTGTTACGCTGTGAGGAGGAGGGGCTTATGTTCAGAAGCTCCATGAGCTAAGATACCATGGAAGAGGCGGGAGGAGGAGACTCGACTGCCATTCCTGTGGGGTTTCTGTCCAGTACAGATCTCACCGTTGTTTAACAGCGCTTTGAAGACAGATCGCAGACCACACAGGGTCCTATTGAAAGTGCACAATTCAGTGATTTTTAGAATTTAGTTGTATAACTGTCACCGCAGTCAGTTTTAGAGCCGTACTCAAGGTGATCACGCCTCCTCCTCCTCCACCCCAGCTCCTCCTCCTCCCCCCCCAACTCCTCCTCCTCCACCCCAACTCCTCCTCCTCCCCAACTCCTCCTCCTCCACCCCAACTCCTCCTCCTCCACCCCAACTCCTCCTCCTCCTCCCCAATTCCTCCTCCTCCACCCCAGCTCCTCCTCCTCCACCCCAACTCCTCCTCCACCATCCCAACTCCTCCTCCTCCTCCCCAACTCCTCCTCCTCCTCCCCAACTCCTCCTCCTCCACCCCAACTCCTCCTCCTCCTCCCCAACTCCTCCTCCTCC